CAGGACACAATGGGATACAACATATATTACAGGACACAATGGGATACAACATGATATTACAAACAGGACACAATGGGATACAACATGATATTACAAACAGGACACAATGGGATACAACATGATATTACAGGACAGGACACAATGGGATACAACATGATATTACAGGACAGGACACAATGGGATACAACACGATATTACAAACAGGACACAATGGGATACAACATCATATTACAGGACAGGACACAATGTGATACAACATGATATTACAGGACAGGACACAATGGGATACAACATGATATTACAAACAGGACACAATGGGATACAACATGATATTACAAACAGGACACAATGGGATACAACACAGTATTACAGGACAGGACACAATAGGATACAACATGATGTTACAGGACAGGACACAATAGGATACAACATGATGTTACAGGACAGGACACAATGGGATACAACATGATATTACAGGACAGGACACAATGGGATACAACATGATATTACAAACAGGACACAATGGGATACAACATGATATTACAAACAGGACACAATGGGATACAACACAGTATTACAGGACAGGACACAATAGGATACAACATGATGTTACAGGACAGTTCACAATGTGACACAACATGATGTTACAGGACAGGACAGAATGTGACACAACATGATGTTACAGGACAGGACACAATAGGATACCTCATGATGTTACAGGACAGTTCACAATGTGACACAACATGATGTTACAGGACAGGACAGAATGTGACACAACATGATGTTACAGGACAGGACACAATGGGATACAACATGATATTACAGGACAGGACACAATGGGATACAACATGATATTACAGGACAGGACACAATGGGATACAACATGATATTACAGGACAGGACACAATGGGATACAACATGATATTACAAACAGGACACAATGGGATACAACATGATATTACAGGACAGGACACAATGGGATACAACATGATATTACAGGACAGGACACAATGGGATACAACATATATTACAGGACAGGACACAATGGGATACAACATGATATTACAAACAGGACACAATGGGATACAACATAATATTACAGGACAGGACACAATGGGATACAACATATATTACAGGACACAATGGGATACAACATGATATTACAAACAGGACACAATGGGATACAACATGATATTACAGGACAGGACACAATGGGATACAACATAATATTACAGGACATGACACAATGGGATACAACATGATATTACAGGACAGGACACAATGGGATACAACATGATATTACAGGACAGGACACAATGGGATACAACATGATATTACAGGACAGGACACAATGGGATACAACATATATCACAGGACACAATGGGATACAACATGATATTACAAACAGGACACAATGGGATACAACATGATATTACAGGACAGGACACAATGGGATACAACATAATATTACAGGACAGGACACAATGGGATACAACATATATTACAGGACACAATGGGATACAACATGATATTACAAACAGGACACAATGGGATACAACATAATATTACAGGACAGGACACAATGGGATACAACATATATTACAGGACACAATGGGATACAACATGATATTACAGGACAGGACACAATGGGATACAACATGATATTACAAACAGGACACAATGGGATACAACATGATATTACAAACAGGACACAATGGGATACAACACAGTATTACAGGACAGGACACAATAGGATACAACATGATGTTACAGGACAGTTCACAATGTGACACAACATGATGTTACAGGACAGGACAGAATGTGACACAACATGATGTTACAGGACAGGACACAATAGGATACAACATGATGTTACAGGACAGTTCACAATGTGACACAACATGATGTTACAGGACAGGACAGAATGTGACACAACATGATGTTACAGGACAGGACACAATAGGATACAACATGATGTTACAGGACAGTTCACAATGTGACACAACATGATGTTACAGGACAGGACAGAATGTGACACAACATGATGTTACAGGACAGGACACAATGTGATACATCATGATATTACAGGACAGGACACAATGTGATACAACACGATATTACAGGACAGGACACAATGGGATACAACATGATATTACAGGACAGGACACAATGGGATACAACACGATATTACAAACAGGACACAATGGGATACAACATCATATTACAGGACAGGACACAATGTGATACATCATGATATTACAGGACAGGACACAATGGGATACATCATGATATTACAGGACAGGACACAATGTGATACAACACGATATTACAGGACAGGACACAATGGGATACAACATGATATTACAGGACAGGACACAATGGGATACAACACGATATTACAAACAGGACACAATGGGATACAACATCATATTACAGGACAGGACACAATGTGATACATCATGATATTACAGGACAGGACACAATGTGATACATCATGATATTACAGGACAGGACACAATGTGATACAACATGATGTTACAGGACAGGACACAATGTGATACAACATGATATTACAGGACAGGACACAATGGGAAACAACATGATATTACAGGACAGGACACAATGGGATACAACATGATATTACAGGACATGACACAATGGGATACAACATGATATTACAGGACAGGACACAATGGGATACAACATGATATTACAGGACAGGACACAATGGGATACAACATCATATTACAGGACAGGACACAATGGGATACAACATGATATTACAAACAGGACACAATGTGATACATTATGATATTACAGGACAGGACACAATGTGATAAAACACAGTATTACAGGACAGGACACAATGTGACACAACATCATATTACAGGACAGGACACAATGGGATACAACATGATATTACAGGACATGACATTATGTGATACAACATGATATTAAAGGACAGGACACATCAGGATACAACATGATATTAAAGGACAGGATACATCAGGATACAACATGATATTACAGGACAGGACACAAATCCCTGACCCTTACCCCGCCCCACATCTACAACCCCTATCCCCAACCCCCATCCCCCTCCTCGCAACTCCAACCCCCACCCCCACCCCATAAAATGACAGAGACATACCTAATGTAAACGTAATGAAATGCGTGGTAATTTATTATCATTTATTAAAGACAAAATTATTACCTATTTATATATTTATTTATATACTCATTAATTCACCTTTCTATGTTAATCAAAAGTTTTTTGCCAACATGATCCAACAGTTCAGTTATAAAGTAAACCTGTTGTACTTAATGTTAAGTATGTCATCCTGAAATTAAAATTTGCAGACAATTGCTTATAACATGAGAATTTTGACATTCATGGCCTACAAAGTCACCTAATGTAAGCTTACTATCTGAATTCATTTGATAACCACCACATACAGCTTTTAAGGAACTGTGTTGATTTACACTCAATCTTATCCAAGTTTACAATAAATGAAACACAGAAAATAATATCTACATTCTATATCTCATTTCCATACATCAAAAAAAATATGGAAAAAAATGTTTATAAATGAAAAACATATATTCAGAAAAATGAATAGATATTGAAAAAAATTGGAATAAGAGCTAACAGTGCTTTTTTACTGTGTATATATGTACATATATAACAATGCTTTACATGAAGAACTTATGTTATATGTGACTCAGAACATTGATTTTTACCTGGATATCAATAAAATCTCGTTAAAGGTAGGTAGGGAAAGGCCTTATATTGTTGTTGTATGCGAGACAAGAGTGTAATGCTATTAAACAAATCCTTAATTCTGGGTGGGGAAATGTTTCCAGACAACAGAAGAATCGTGCACGTGTAAGAACCACTAAGGCAAGCTGTTGACATATTGTACATACATGTTGTATATACATGTTGTATATTTAAAGTTCACAGTATTAGGAAATATTAATCAATCAATAGTTTCATAAAGAAAAGATTTCAAATCTTTTCACATGTTTAGTGTCTGAAACAGAAATCAAATCGCTTATATCATCGTCTTAATTTGTAAACTTGAAAAATTATATATCCTTTTGTATTTTTTAAAACAAAATTTGTTTATCATTTTATAAATTAGACAACAGGCTTTTCTAAGACTAAAATTTCAAAGTCTGGGAAGGTATTCCAGGCAGGTTTGGGAATGATATTAAAAAAACCTTTGCATGTGATATTCAAGATAAGTTCTTAATAACTTTCGCTACCTATGGTTATCAATCACATGCTGTAAAACAGATACCGGGTAAGCTATTTAAGTTTAAACATAAATTTCTTCAAGAGTTAGAATCAAGACAGATTCATTTGATTGGTCAATGAAAACAACTTGCAATAGATTAACACAGTATGACTATAAAACTGCATTCGCATAAAATATGTCAACCTTGGAATTAAACATTCAGTAAAAGAAAATTAAGATTCTGAAAATTAAAAACAACAGCTACAAAATATACAAAACCCTTCTTTTAATAAATTCCGTCCTAAAACAATAGCTACAAAATATACAAAACCCTTCTTTTAATAAATTCCATCCTAAAACAATAGCTACAAAAATTGTTGATTTTTCCTTCAATTTTTCAGACATATCATTACCACGTCACACTTTGATAAACCTAATATCACTTATAATTTTCTTTATTAAAACTCCAGTCAGTGTTAGTATTCTTGTTATCATAAGTAAACAGAACATGTTTGTTCTGACTGGTCTCGATAGTTGATTACACGTAACACCTGATCCCAGGACTCCACTAACAGGTAAACGCCCTTCCCTGGTAGTGATTAACACTAGTAAACATGACACTGAACATTTACTATAAATATTGAGCAATCCTTCAAACCTGCTAGAAATTAAATGTATTGTTAATTCATTACCAGTTTCCCTATATCTTTGTTTAAAGTTTCAGGTTTTAATCACATGTTACAGATGTTAGGCATCAGAATGAGATCAAACCCAGGACCTCTGGTTTACAAGTCTGACACTTTACTGGAATCAAACCCAGGACCACTGGTTTACAAGTCTGACACTTTACTGGAATCAAACCCAGGACCACTGGTTTACATGTCTGACACTTTACTGGGATCAAACCCAGGACCTCTGATTTACATGTCTGACACTTTACTGGGATCAAACCCAGGACCAATGGTTTACATGTCTGACACTTTACAAGAATCAAACCCAGGACCTCTGATTTACATGTCTGACACTTTACTGGGATCAAACCCAGGACCTCTGATTTACATGTCTGACACTTTACTGGGATCAAACCCAGGACCAATGGTTTACATGTCTGACACTTTACAAGAATCAAACCCAGGACCTCTGGTTTACATGTCTGACACTTTACAAGAATCAAACCCAGGACCTCTGGTTTACATGTCTGACACTTTACTGGAATCAAACCCAGGACCACTGGTTTACATGTCTGACACTTTACTGGGATCAAACCCAGGACCTCTGGTTTACATGTCTGACACTTTACTGGGATCAAACCCAGGACCTCTGGTTTACATGTCTGACACTTTACTGGGATCAAACCCAGGACCTCTGCTTTACATGTCTGACATTTGACCAGGATCAAACCCAGGACCACTACTTTACATGTCTGATACTTTACTGGGATCAAACCCAGGACCAATGGTTTACATGTCTGACACTTTACTGGGATCAAACCCAGGACCTCTGGTTTACATGTCTGAAACTTTACTGGGATCAAACCCAGGACCTCTGGTTTACATGTCTGACACTTTACTGGGATCAAACCCAGGACCTCTGGTTTACATGTCTGACATTTGACCAGGATCAAACCCCGGACCTCTGGTTTACAAGTCTGACACTTTACTAGAATCAAACCCAGGACCTCTGGTTTACATGTCTGACACTTAACCAGGATCAAACCCAGGACCAATGGTTTACATGTCTGACACTTTACAAGAATCAAACCCAGGACCTCTGGTTTACAAGTCTGACACTTTACTGTGATCAAACCCAGGACCTCTGGTTTACATGTCTGACACTTTACTGGGATCAAACCCAGGACCTCTGGTTTACATGTCTGACACTTTACTGTGATCAAACCCAGGACCTCTGGTTTATATGTCTGACACTTTACTGGGATCAAACCCAGGACCTCTGATTTACATGTCTGACACTTTACTGGGATCAAACCCAGGACCACTGTTTACATGTCTGACACTTTACTGGAATCAAACCCAGGACCTCTGGTTTGCATGTCTGACACTTTACTAGAATCATACCCAGGACCTCTGGTTTACATGTCTGACACTTTACTGGGATCAAACCCAGGACCTCTGGTTTACAAGTCTAACACTTTACTAGAATCAAACCCAGGACCTCTGGTTTACATGTCTGACACTTTACTAGAGTCAAACCCAGGACCTCATTTCTGACATTTTACCAGGATCAAACCCAGGACCTCTGGTTTACATGTCTGACACTTTACTGGGACCAACCCAGGACCTCTGATATACAAGTATGACACTTTACTTGGATCAAACCCAGGACCTCTGGTTTACATGTCTGACACTTTACTGGGATCAAACCCAGGACCTCTGGTTTACATGTCTGACACTTTACTAGAATCAAACCCAGGACCTCTGGTTTACATGTCTGACACTTAACCAGGATCAAACCCAGGACCTCTGGTTTACATGTCTGACACTTTACTTGAATCAAACCCAGGACCTCTGGTTTACAAGTCTGACACCTTTCTGTGATCAAACCCAGGACCTCTGGTTTACATGTCTGACACTTTACTGGGATCAAACCCAGGACCTCTGGTTTACATGTCTGACACTTTACTGGGATCAAACCCAGGACCTCTGGTTTACATGTCTGACATTTGACCAGGATCAAACCCAGGACCTCTGCTTTACATGTCTGACACTTTACTAGAATCAAACCCAGGACCTCTGGTTTACATGTCTGACACTTAACCAGGATCAAACCCAGGACCAATGGTTTACATGTCTGACACTTTACTAGAATCAAACCCAGGACCTCTGGTTTACATGTTTGACACTTAACCAGGATCAAACCCAGGACCTCTGGTTTACATGTCTGACACTTTACTAGAATCAAACCCAGGACCTCTGGTTTACAAGTCTGACACTTTACTGGGATCAACACAGGATCTCTTGTTAACATGTCTGACACTTTACTGGGATCAAACTCAGGACCTCTGGTTTACATGTCTGACACTTTACTGGGATCAAACCCAGGACCTCTGGTTTACATGTCTGACACTTTACTAGAATCAAACCCAGGACCTCTGGTTTACATGTCTGACACTTTACTAGAATCAAACCCAGGACCAATGGTTTACATGTCTGACACTTTACTGGGATCAAACCCAGGACCTCTGGTTTACATGTCTGACACTTTACTGGGATCAAACCCAGGACCTCTGGTTTACATGTCTGACACTTTACTGGGATCAAACAAAGGACCTCTGGTTTACATGTCTGACACCTTTCCAGGATCAAACCCAGGACCCCCTGAACTTGTTTAAGACTGATGAAGTAAGTGAATTTAGCTCAATAATTGACAAGATAAAAAGGACAAGAGGGCTAGAGGGCCTGTTTCACTCACCTGGTGATTTTTTTTCTCCAAAATTGAAGTCTGCTTAAATCACCGGTGTTCAAGAGCAAATCTGATCACAATCCTTTCATCTGATCTGAAGATTTTTTTTCTTAATATTTGTGTGAATATCTTTAAAACATTGATGTGGAACTTCTTTTATCAAGATTGATTAAAGAACAGCTGCAGACATTTGTCATAGCCCTAAAGTTACTGTATTTCCATTCAATGTTTCACCATGGAAATAGATAATTTCTACGAAGGCAAACAACAAAGTTTTTCCTTTAGTTTTGCTTTGAATAATTGCTTTAAGTTTACTGCCTGTTTGCACTGCATGTGGTCCTTTTTATTAAAAGAATATTTGCAGAAGTTGAGAAAGGTTGAAATGTTTTCCAATGCTATACCAAGCCACTTCTCCTTTTCATAGAAGGGAAATAACTCCTTTAATTCTTAGGACATTTCATACCAACTATGGCAAAGCATGGATTTATTACCATGGTAATTTATTTTTTAAAAGCATCCATAAATTGGAGATGGAAATGCAAACTAATTCTGCACTGACCCTGTTCTTAACTGTTCCATCATAGATATGATTGTGAAAACTTTCTCACCCGACAGTTATGTACCTCAGTTCAATGGAAACTGGGATTGCAAAATGCCTTCTTTTAATTAGTTACTTTCCAAAGGTAAAGTTTAATTCATTATTCTGCTCTACTGTGCATCTTTTATTCAATCTTCAATGCATTAATTGAAAAATAAAAAAGTGGGATTTGAGGGGGATGAGTGGAGGACAACATCAGCAATGACATTCCTAAACATCCCGCAATCTTAGACCTGTAATGATTGGGTATACCAAACAGGAGGTATATTTATTGATACAGACCAAATACTTACTCCAAAACATTGAAGTTGTTTGAGTTGGGATACTGTTACTTGTACCAGTGAGCTGGTTTTGTGACATACATAGTGTATATGTTATTTGTAAAACAGGTAAAGTATAATACAAAAACTATACATACCTGTTTTAAGTTTCTAAAGTCTGATCAGTCTATCAGAGATTGACGATGAACTTTAAACACAAATTCTCCTCCATTACAGTACAATTATAGAACATCTGGAAAAAAGAACATGAAGATTAATGTCAATTAATGTTTCATCATCATCATCATCATCATCATCTTCGTCGTCGTTGTCGCCTTCCTCCTCATCATCATCATAATCATATCAAAAAATTAATATACCAACAAAACGAGTGAATAGATAAATAGATAAATTGATAAATAGATAAAAAAAACAATGGAACTACTTCATTACACTGATGTATATAAACTTGACTTACATCCAAACAAAGAGAAAAATTAATAAATATATGAAATAAATGAGAAACCAATGTCCTCCCAGGGAAAGGGACTTAATCAGTCTAAGCTCCATTAATCTGAAAAAAACTTCTGTCATCTTTGCATCCATTTCAAACCTCATCTGAATTAGTCAGTGTCCAAAGTTAAGCATGATTAGAAAATTTAAAAAGATAAATAAAAACACTCCTTCCTGAATATATGAACTTAAAACTTTTTTTAAAAAGTCCTTTATTTACAGACAAAATGCTTATGTCAAAGTTTCAACTGACTTCAAAGTTTGTTGAAATCATTACATTTAAATCACATTTAAATGTCTCAATCCTACTTATATTACAAAAAAATGGAATTATATTAAATTTCCTTCTTTTTACAAATTTCATTTTTAACTATTTTGATCAGATACACTCTCTGATGTTAGGACAAACATTTCAGTCAACGTTATTTGAACATTTGAAATATCACAAATAAGTCCTCCCAATAAAAACAGAATCACACTAATTGTAAAAACCTGTTTTAAACTTTAGGTCCCATGTCGAGAATACTTAAATAGTTCATACAAGATTTAGGAGTATTATACTAGACGCTGAAACAAATGTTACATGTTTCATCTGAACGTGCACGTGGTCTGGCGATTCTGTGACTGACAAGTGACATGTTGGGCCGTGGACTCACCTGATGTATCCCTGTCCAGCGGTCATGAATGTTTTCATTCACCTGTACTGTCCTCACCTGTCAACACACTTTCAGGATATCCCATATTGAGCGACATCTGGTGTGTAAACAGTTAACCGTCCCTGGTCCGGTCAAAGGGGAATAACTCCCCGTATAGACGTCTTGAGAAGTATGATCACTTCTGTCGTGTTTTGTTTTCAGTTTTTAGTTGTTTTTTTTTCAGTATGTACCATTAATATATAGTTATATCTATCTATATATATATTGTATTCTACAGGAAACAGGTGTATTTTAGCACGTGCGTGAATTAGACAGAATTGCTTTCTTAATCTAAATTACTACTATATTTCGACGCGGAGCAATTATATTGGCGTACGTTATCAGGCAAAATACAAAGATTTTTTTAATAACAAAACTGCTGAATATTTGATTGTCTAATTTTCAGTTAATCATGCAGGATAAAGATAATACATAAGGACAGAATGAAAAAAATATGGCTCGTTCGCCACTTTTGTGTTTCTCCACCCTTGTCAAAATACAGCTTATATTTTAAGACAATGTATCTATATATAAAGTCCACACGGCTTTAGTCAACCCGGTCAGCACTAAGTCCACACTAAGTACATCATATAAGTGAACAGTTGAAGAAGAAGCAAGCTCTCTCTCTCTCTCTCTCTCTCCCTCCCCCCCCCCTCTCTCTCTCTCTCTCTCTCTCTCTCTCTCTCTCTCTCTCTCTCTCTCTCTCTCTCTCTCTCTCTTGTTTTACACATCTGAAAGCCTGTTTCACACCACCATGGGTTGTCAATATCATGAGAAAAACCTGTCACTGTCTTACACACCTAAAGCTAACTTCATACCAACAGGGGTTGTCAATTGTGAGAAAAACCTGTCACTGTTTTACACACCTGAAGCCAACTTCAGACCATCAGGGGTTGAGAAAAATATGTCTTTGAGGTGAAGGCTGAATCTGCTGCGGAACTAATTTGTTCTTACTTTGGTCTAACTTAATTCCTGAACTCATGGTCGGTGTAACTCCGACTTGATCTTGTGAAAGTATTTCAACAAACGGAGAAAGCCAACACAACATTTGTTGCTAGAGAGACAGTTTGTATAACCAGGTAGACTAAAGTTACCACAAACTGTTTCTATTAATTTGAGTGGTAACAACAGTGACATGTCAAAGGGAGGAAAAAGGAAACACTTTAGCGATCGGAAGACGTGAAAGAAAAACCTGCTATGATTTTCATCCCGTTCAACTTTGTCATTTAAAACGTCTTAACGAACTATCAACACTCAAAGCAATAAACACTGTCTTGATATTTGTTTATAATTCCAGCATGATCTGCGTGTTGATATATACCACCCAAAATCCTAATTGTGGCTTCAATTAGTTTACATATAAAGAGGGGATGGTGATTTAGTTTGATCAGTTTACTCGTCATGTGCGAGAGTTGTTTTGATGCAGGATGTCCTTGTACAAGTAAAGTGCTATATCACTGAACACCATGCGGAAGGCCCGTCTCTTGTCATCCTGAGTATCAGAGGTAGCATATCGTGCTCACAGATACAGTCAAAACAACACAGTACGATCCAGATCTTCTTCTGATCACATCTAACATCTTCATCCGATGGAAACTCACATCTCAAATCTTCATTTGATCGAACCTCACATCTCAAATCTTCATCTCATCGAACTCCACATCTCAAATCTTCATCTGATCGAACCTCACATCTCAAATTTTCATCTGGTCGAACCTCACATCTCACATCTTCATCTCATCGACCTCCACATCTCAAATCTTCATCTGATCGAACCTCACATCTCGAATCTTCATCTGATCGAACCTCACATCTCACATCTTCATCTCATCGAACTCCACATCTCAAATCTTCATCTGATCGAACCTCACATCTCAAATTTTCATCTGGTCGAACCTCACATCTCACATCTTCATCTCATCGACCTCCACATCTCAAATCTTCATCTGATCGAACCTCACATCTCGAATCTTCATCTGATCGAACCTCACATCTCGAATCTTCATCTGATCGAACCTCACATCTCAAATCTTTATCTGATCGAACCTCACATCTCAAATTTTCATCTCATCGAACTACACATCCCGAATTTTCATCTCATCGAACTTCACATCTCAAATCTTCATCCGATGGAACCTCACATCTGAAATCTTCATCTGATCGAACCTCACATCTCACATCTTCATCTGATCGAACCTCACATCTCTATTCTTTATGTGATCGAACCTCACATCTCTATTCTTTATGTGATCGAACTTCACATCTCAAATCTTCATCTGATCGAACCTCACATCTCACATCTTCATCTCATCGAACTCCACATCTCAAATCTTCATCTGATCGAACTCCACATCTCAAATCTTTATCTGATCGAACCTCACATCTCAAATCTTCATCTCATCGAACTCCACATCTCAAATCTTCATCTGATCGAACCTCACATCTCAAATCTTCATCTGATCGAACCTTACATCTCACATCTTCATCTGATCGAACCTCACATCTCGAATCTTCATCTGATCGAACCTCACATCTCAAATCTTCATCTGATCGAACCTCACATCTCAAATCTTCATCTGATCGAACCTCACATCTCAAATTTTCATCTCATCGAACTACACATCTCGAATTTTCATCTCATCGAACTTCACATCTCAAATCTTCATCCGATGGAACCTCACATCTGAAATCTTCATCTGATCGAACCTCACATCTCACATCTTCATCTGATCGAACCTCACATCTCTATTCTTTATGTGATCGAACCTCACATCTCTATTCTTTATGTGATCGAACCTCACATCTCAAATCTTCATCTGATCGAACCTCACATCTCAAATCTTCATCTGATCGAACCTCACATCTCAAATTTTCATCTCAACTCCACATCTCATCTGATCGAACTCCACATCTCAAATCTTTATCTGATCGAACCTCACATCTCAAATCTTCATCTCATCGAACTCCACATCTCAAATCTTCATCTGATCGAACCTCACATCTCAAATCTTCATCTGATCGAACCTCACATCTCACATCTTCATCTCATCGAACTTCACATCTCAAATCTTCATCTGATCGAACCTCACATCTCAAATCTTCGTCTGATCGAACCTCACATCTCGAATCTTCATCTGATCGAACCTCACATCTCAAATCTTCGTCTGATCGTACCTCACATCTCAAATCTTCATTTCTTGGTATCATAAATCCTAAATATCTTCCCGATCGAATCTGAGACTACAATTATCTGGTGCTTTATTGTAACTTCTCGTCAGAAATCCACGAGTCTCGATAGTTTCAAACTACAAGTAAGATTTTCGTGGATTTCAGCTCAGCTAACGGGAACTTAAAGGCTCGCGAGACATATGATCAACCACAAACAATATTTAATTCAGATATTTACATCACAAATAACATAATTAAGTTGATAGCAATATATAAACAAACACACATAACATTTTAACAAAATATGTAAACTATTATATTATACTGGATGCACGCCCACTCACCTCAATTTTAACGAGTGTCATGAATATATAAGTTATATGCAAAATCTCAGAGTAGTAGTATTATTATGTAATAGTTGACAAAAAAAATCCACAATCCGCGATGATTTTTATTGAAATACTAGCAAACACTCAAATGAATCCCTGAAATACAATCACTTCTTTGGAATTTTCCGAATCATGTTTCAAATCCAATATCATGGTGATTTTTATAAACACACTTGACGCGGAAACAGACTGACTTCTTGCTGTGTTTGTCCCAATAATTCCAAGTGCTCATATTCTCGCTTGTTTGGACAAGTTTCCGACAGATAACCGAAACTCAGTTAACAATAATTTTAAAAACTCAAATATTGTATGTCGAACATACTACGCGTAAATAAGACAATTGTTTAAATTTGATAAGGTTGCCGGTATAAGGTCTCCGGTATTGTTGGCATTTGGTTTTTTTCGTGAGAGTTATTTCCCTTGGGTCGTGTTTACATTTGAAGTATCAAGTAACAATGTTTCCAATATTCGAGGCCTGAAGTTCCGTCAGTACTGATAATCGAGGTACTTCCGGAGTTGACTTTCGGAAATCGAGGTCCTACATTACCTCTAAAATATAGACTGAAGTACCTGCCTTTGAGTAAACTTTCTCCGTTAGGCTAAGACAAGTCACTAACTCTGTCAATAATTTGACCAGTCTGTTTGTATCATTGTTTTGAAAACTGATGTTTGTTCATCTTGAAAATGATTTCATTAGTTTATATTGCTAAACGTTATGGATCATGGTTATAGGGTTAATTTTTGCCATAAACAGTTACCAACCGCCGTGTGTACATTTTGTTAACAGTATCGCTACAATCTTCTCCGAAAGCGCAAAATATATTCTCTTTACGCTGATCGATGACATTCTGTTGATGTTGTCAGGACTGTCGCCATAGTTTTACCAAACATCAAACTCTGACTCTGAAAGGAGGTCAACTTTGGAAGTCCGTAAGCAGTTTACAGAGTTGTATTGTTGCTGTAAAGGAACAACTCTGGTAGAATTTGCTGTACCCCCATGTGAAGTTTCGGATAAGCGTTTTTTCCTAATGTCCGATAATGAATTCCGAATAAATGTTAAGATTTGACTTCGGAAATCGAGGCCCTGCAACACCCCAAGACTATAATTACGGATGTTCTACCATATCCTTCGTAATATCCTGGACTACATTGATTCCTCTTTAACATCATATATCCGGATTATCGGATACGCTTTTTCAGTTTCCGTTTTCTTTTTACGTGTACTTTTTCTTTTACATCTCATTTCCGGTTAATTTCATGTCAAAAATGTAGACAGAGAATTAACACGCTTTTTTTAAATCTGTCGGTTTGAGCGCTGGCTAAGATGAAATCCGATGTGTTTCGACACTACCTCCCCGTGGCGACTTGTGTTTTTAAGGGCCTATCTACGTTGTTGTCTCATTCGACACTTTACCCTCTACGGACCTTCCTTATACTGTTCAGTGAGTTAGGCATCAGCTAGTAAAGGAGACCCTGGGGCGATAAACCCAACAAAATATTGTTCCGTAAATTTAAAATCTGAGGCATTTTTACACCGGTTCAAAACGTGTAATTGTGTTTTCACACGCGTCTAGCAGAATCTAATAAATTTGCTGTTTTTACAAAAAATGTAGTCTTTTGGTTACTTTGAAGCCAGGGGAGTTGTTCAGTTCCTTATCGTGTGAGTAGAAGAGTTCTTTTAGATATCATTTACCCTTCAAACACTCTGCCTCAAGTAACGACTCTCATATGTAGATTGCCAGATAAACGTGTAGTTAAGGGATTAGTGAATTCTGAAGTTCATCTCCAATAAAATATCTAAAAACAAAATAGCTGACACTGTTATTTATTATTGGACTCATACATATATAAAACATAGCATATGTAATACATGTAGTTTGTATACTATTGATATTTTGTGGGGGGGTTTTTCAGCGACAGAAACTTCGTGTTTGTTTCCTGTGTCAAGTTACTTGTATCTGCATTGACAACAAGACTGAACAGTAGATATAACAGTAGAAATGCGTTGACATTTGAAATAATAAAGTAAACATTCTCAATAAATGATTATCGTTTACAAACCATTTCTCTTGTCAGCCGACTTATATTGGTTTCATAAGTAGACCCTAGTCACTACTTTAGACTAGTTGAAACATATTCGCTAAAAACTCTTTCTATCTCAATCTAAATGTCTCTTTCTATCATCGCTGTCTTCTCCTGTTTTATCCTCGTCATCCTCCCTCCTACCTCTCTCTCCATCGTCACTGTCTGCTCATGTTTTATCCTCGTCATCCTCCCTCCTACCTCTCTTTCCATCGTCAGTGTCTTCTTCTGTTTTATCCTCGTCATCCTCCCTCCTATCTCTCGTTCCATCGTCACCGTCTTCTCATGTTTTATCCTCGTCATCCTCCCTCCTACCTCTCTTTCCATCGTCACCGTCTTCTCATGTTTTATCCTCGTCATCCTCCCTCCTATCTCTCTTTCCATCGTCACCGTCTTCTCATGTTTTATCCTCGTCATCCTCCCTCCTACCTCTCTTTCCATCGTCAGTGTCTTCTTCTGTTTTATCCTCGTCATCCTCCCTCCTATCTCTCGTTCCATCGTCACCGTCTTCTCATGTTTTATCCTCGTCATCCTCCCTCCTATCTCTCTTTCCATCGTCACCGTCTTCTCATGTTTTATCCTCGTCATCCTCCCTCCTACCTCTCTTTCAATAATCACTGTCTTGTCCCGTTTTATCCTCGTCATCCTCCCTTCTACCTCTCTTTTCATCGTCACTGTCTTGTCCTGTTTTATCCTCGTCATCCTCCCTCCTACCTCTCTTTCCATCGTCGCTGTCTTCTCCTGTTTCATCCTCGTCATCCTCCCTCCTACCTCTCTTTCCATCATCACTGTCTTGTCCTGTTTTATCCTCGTCATCCTCCCTCCTACCTCTCTTTTCATCGTCACTGTCTTCTCCTGTTTTATCCTCTTCATCCTCCCTCCTACCTCTCTTTTCATCGTCACAGTCTTCCCCTGTTTTATCCTCTTCATCCTCCCTCCTACCTCTCTTTCCATTGTCATTGTCTTCTCCTGTTTTATCCTTGTCGTCCTCCCTCCTACCTACTCTCTCTACTTCTCGGCCCTTTTCGTGTCAATTCTTATTTAATTGCCTCCGATAAGCATTACCCTTTCTTCCGGTCACCGCCTATTTCTTCCATCCCTTCTATCTCCCCCAACTCTGTCTTCCCAATCTCTTTTCCGTCTCCCTATACCCCATCCCTACTCTCCCCTAACTCCCCCACTCTCCTTCTCTCCTCTGTCTAACTGTTCCCGTTATGTCTCCCACAAATTCCCTCGTTTCCATTCCACCGAACTCCCCCATTCTCCCTCTTCTCCCCTTTCTATCTCCCCCTAACGCCCCCTCCCTCTCTTCTCGCCCTTACTCCCCCCTCTCTCTCTCCTCATTCTGTCTCCCCCTAAATCTCCCTCCCTCTCTTCTCCACTTTCTATCTCCCCCTAACTTCCCTTCCCTCTCTCATCCCCTTTATGTCTCCCCGTAACTCCCCCCTCCCTCTCTTCTCCTCCTTCTGTCTCCCCCTAACTCCCCCTCCCTCTCTCTCCTCCTTCTGTCTCCCCCTAACCTCCATCCCGTTATTTCCACCTAGTCCCCCATCTCCTTGTCTCCTCCGTCTAATTGCCCGCTAAAATCAATCCCCTTCGGCACCACCATACTCACCCATCCTCCCCGTCCCCAGACATACTTACCCATCCTCTCCGTCCCCCGACATACTCACCCATCCTCTCGTCCCCCGACATACTCACCCATCCTCTCCGTCCCCCGACATACTCACCCATCCTCTCCGTCCCCCGAATTACTCATCCATCCTCCCCGTCCCCCGACATACTCACCCATCCTGTCCGTCCCCCGACATACTCACCCATCCTCTCCGTCCCCCGACATACTCACCCATCCTCCCCGTCCCCGACATACTCACCCATCCTCCCCGTATCCCGACGTGATACTCACCCATCCTCTCCGTCCCCCGAATTACTCATCCATCCTCCCCGTCCCCCGACATACTCATCCATCCTCTCCGTCCCCCGACATACTCATCCATCCTCTCCGTCCCCCGACATACTCACCCATCCTCTCCGTCCCCCGACATACTCACCCATCCTCTCCGTCCCCCGACATACTCACCCATCCTCTCCGTCCCCCGACATACTCACCCATCCTCTCCGTCCCACGACATACTCAGCCATCCTCCCCGTCCCCCGACATACTCACCCATCCTCCCCGTATCCCGACGTGATACTCACCCATCCTCTCCGTCCCCCGACATACTCCCCCATCCTCTCCGTCCCTACCATAATCTTCCCTCTTTAGGATCCCGCCTTCTCATTAATTCTTCCCACCTCCTTCTCTCCGCCCAACTCTTCCTATTCACACTTTCTGCGTTTTTAATATACACATCAGCCTGCAGATTCCTTTCTTCCCTCATTTCCATTTTTCCGTTTCACAACCTACTCTTCCTCCAGTATTTGCCTATCTTTCCATTCCCTCCCTAAAAGTACAAATATCCGACTACAAGTATTTTCTCCCTTTTTGCTTTTGCTTGTTTCTCCATCCCCACCACCCTTCTTTCTTTTGATAACCCCTTCGCTCTTCTCGGTCTCCTCCAATATTCCTATTTGGGGCGTCATTTTCTCTCCTCCACGCCTTAGATTCTCTCACCTTCCCTCTTTCTATAATTAGACTTCCCACTTATCTTTAATCTCCATTTTGGACCTTATTTTTCATTCTTAAACAGTACTATCCTCTGCCTTTTCTGCGTGCATCCGCCTTTCCTCCATTCATATCTCTTCTACATTCCCGTTCCAACATTTCTTTAAATCTTATCCTTCTTATGTCTGTGTTGACATTTCCCTTGCTCTGTTTCAACCTATTTCTCTCTCCTTTACCTTCCCCTTTGCGCTTCCTTTAAGGAGTCCTCCTGTTAAAAAAACTAAAATAATGATAAAAGACATATCCAGCTGTCTTTCATAAAACATGGAATAGAAAGGTGATCATTTAAACACCTTGAACACGTGTATTGTCATACATCTTACTTCTTGTTTACTTTACAGCTAAAACACCTTTAAGATCCAGATGTCATATTTGAAGACCCTGTCGACACTCTTCACGACAGAGTCACGTAGACGCTTGAATGTGTTTACATATTCCTTTGTGTGGCTACTTAAAAGAAAATAGTGAGATTTAGACGGAGATATTTGATCCTCGTATGATCCCGACAATCGGCGTGTGTCTCAGTGATGATGTTAATATCAAGTTGACACAGGTCTTTGAGAGATTTCGTCGCTCTTTGAAGATTGGTTCGGTCAATACCGGGTAATCCCTACGCCAATTATCATACAGACGAAAACGCTGTAAGCTTCTTTACCGAGAGGTTGTCCGCACCACAGTCCGCGTCGGGTAAACAAACAATCATGAGTGAGTGTATTCTAGACAACAATTCAAAACAATCCTCTAACCTTAAACGCCGATGATCCGGGTTCGAATCTCTGTATCCTTGTGTAGACGGATAGAATGGTCGATAAATTCGCCAATTAAAAGACCATAATTTATTGTATATACGTATTTCGTCATTTTATACGTCGGATAAATATCGGCGGACGCGGCTTGACTAAATAGTGTTAGTTTATAGTGACACGTATACTGTAAATCACTGAGATTTCGCGAATTTTTTTTTTCGCGAACTAACATTTTCAAACACATTCGCCAATACAAGATTTTATGAACGCTGAACGCGAAAATAAATACCACGCCAAATACAGGTGATTTACAGGTAGTTGTAAGTTTATCTGCGTTTGCCCTCTGCTCTTACGGTGCAATAGGACTGGACGGTGAGTGTAATGATGAAACAGTAATTGCAACTGATCTCGCCGTATTGTGACGTCAGGAAATGCTCTTGCCGTCAGTCACGTGTTTCCGCTGTTCACAACACTGGATTTACTCCCCCATGATAAACAGGAGGTTTGTCTTTCAATACAATGGGATACAGAATTAACTCCAAGGAGTTACAATCTATTCTACCTCTATAATTAACGCTGCTTTTTTGTAGTGTTCAATAATTACAATTTTCTTAACGTAATTATACACGATCTACCTTCCTGACGACTATCTCATGAAACTAGGAACGTAAACCATCAACGTCTCTGATGAATAAAAATGCCAATAAACGTAGGTATAACTATTATATCAACAATAATTCCATTCTGAAAACAGAAAAATGAAAGCATATGGTATACATGAAGAAAGAAAACAAGAAAATACCGACATGTTAACATGATTATAATCCCAACTCAAATTCAATAAAACTAGGGCAAAATATTAACTAAAGAAAAAAACGAAACAAGATTTACATAGCGACCCCTGAAAAAGTATATGGTCATGTGTTCTGGAAGAGTAAACGCCTTCTGGCTTCATCGACGAATCCCGCCATGTAAATCCTGGTCAATGCAGGTAAGTTATGTTAGGTTCTCAAATGGAAACAATGCAAAGTTATGTCTTTTTTAACGACTATAAATACCTTTTTACTGTCTTGAAAAATTCTCATTCATTTTAAACCGAAAAAGGTTGCACCATCAGTGGATGGCAAGCGATGGGCCACGCGTATGTTGTTCAGTGAGGCAGCAACCAATTACTACAAGGAGACCTCGCCTCAAAACAACATTGTCTGTTCACGTGACGTGATACCAAAACAAACAAATAACTAAATATTTAAAATAAATTGCTTTAAGCATCTTATCATTTCGCTTAGTAACTTCATTTTGGCGGCCGGCGTCTATCTTCGGCGTACATATTGACCATATCTACAACGGCCACTTGAATATGGTTTTTTGACAGTCTGTCAAATTTCACCTCTGTATGACGGGCCTTCGTACAACTCTCAATATCCTAAATATCACATCTGAACGGCACTTTTCCTCATGGAAACTATAATCTTTGAATAATATATAATATATAAAGTCAGCAAATATATCTGTCTAGTCTTAGTTTCGTAAAATAATAAAATCCCCATTTATGAATGAATTCCATGTGTGTTTATAATCGTCATTACAGAAAAAACTGGCAGGTAAGATTTTTACACGACACGAGCGATGTTTGAAGTCCGATAACAACTGTCTAATTCCTAAACTGCTTTGTAAACAGAAGGACTGACAACGCAATCAGAGATGTGTTATATCAGTTTTGTCAACAGTATAAAATAACACAAGACATTGAGCCCGGTTTACATAAATTACATAATTGGGAATATCTAAAGGATCTGAGTGTTTAATGTTTCTCTGTATTTTTTGTTTATTCTAATAAAGGTAAAAATTGTTTATCTGATACAGTTAAAGTTTATTTACGGTTCGGTTATTGAGGAGCAATCCAAACCAGGGTCCTATTTTTGTCTTCGTGGCGTGGAGTGATTATAAACATTATCAACTTGCAACTTGTAAATAAAATATCATTTAATTAAAACGTGACAAAAAGAAAAAATAAAAATAAAATAGAAAATCGTGTATACCATTCCCTTACCACGCATTCCTTTTTGATAATTAATATATTTATGACTGAACTGAATTTAATTTTGTTAAAAGGAGAAAAGAAGAATTTGTATGTTCGGGTGACAAAACTTTGTACATGACATCTGTGCAGCGGAACGACAATTATATACGTTCTTCAACGATATTATATGATAAGAAACAAGCCCAGAACTTACAAATAACTATTGAACCGTGATGAGGATAGATTCTCTGATGCGTGAAATTGGATATTTTTTATCATATCCGGACCAAAATGAAACGATAGGCAATGTTCGATTGAAGCTTGTCTTTAAAAGTCAGTTTCAATTGTAAGTTGAAGAAATCGCTGTAATTGTATATCGTAGTTAATTTGATACTTAAGGGCGTATCCATCATATCCTCCTTAACGAAAGAGTTCCTGACAAATATTATGTCAATTATGTGACAGTATTGTGACGTCATCTACCGCAATAGCTCAGTCCATGGTTAAAGTAACCTCTGGTAAAGACCCGAAGTGTGTGATTGGACGCCCCTACTTTTTGCTCAGGAAAATGAGAAACAGATCAACCAGTGCTGTCGGAGTCGTGCCCTTAATTTTGAAAGTATGTGACGGGCCTCTGGTATGTTGTTCAGTGAAATACTCACCAACTGTTACACTGACTGTCTTTACGGAGAGATCAAACCAGCTATCTACTGAAACATACATGAATGGTATAATTTTCGAATGTTTCAATACGCCAGGACTATTTAATTTAAAAGATACTGAAACAGATACACTTGTTTGGTCATATAGGCGACTTCTATGTAACCGCTTAGGGAGTTATAGTTTTTTTAAAAGTCAGATCAATAGCTGTTGGATTTCCGTTATACACAATGTAGAAATTTTTTTTATCCTAGCTGTTCCGTAAATCCAGTGAGATTGTGGCGTCCGTCCGCCTGTCCGTCGTGATTAAGCTATATTGTGCTTAGGAGATCTATAATCAAATCAGAACTTCAACATTTGGTGAAATTTTATCTATTTGTTTATCTATTTATTCATATTTTAGTCACTTGTGTTGAGGTAAACATTGCGACTGATCTGTTTTGGTCGGTGAACTGAAACGTGTACATGGTACCGCTATTCTGAGGTAGACAATGTAGGTAGACAGAATATCATTGGTAATGCTAACAACCCCACACACAGTTCAGAGGAGAAACGACCCAAAGGAATCGTTTTCATTCAAATTTATTTTGTTTTGTTGCTAACATTTTGTCCAACTACAAAATCCTGTTAAATATATATTGCTAAACGTCATTTCAACAGTTAAGATAATTTAAATAACCAAGTGATTAATCTTTCATTTGATTAATTAAATATTTAAACAGTATATATTGTTTTATTGTTTTAAAACTACAATTGATCACAGTTATGTACATTTACATAAAACAATAAAGCAGGTAAACAACAACAACAACCAGCGAGTGTTTTGTAAGATTTATTTTTCCAAAAATAAATAAATCGTAATCAATAGCACTGTTATTTCAGACATTTGTAAACAGCCAGTCCCCCTATGTCGAACTTGCATGATCATGATAAACCGAAACCCAGATAATTAGATAAAAGGACTCTAAGATGTCACCAGGTATTATGGAATCTGAGAAAGGGTATTGTATTTATTTCGAGATAAAGGGGTCATATATATTTATCGATATAAAGAAGGCAAAAAGTGTATCCGAAAAAAAAGATAACGCTAATTTCGAGACAAAGAAGGCAATGAAGATGTCGAATAAAGGATATATTATCCTGCACATTTATCCACTGGGAATAAAGGTACTGTATATATCGAGATTAAAGAAGTATAACGAGATAAAAGAGTCATGCGAGATATCAAAATATATATTGATATCCAATTATTGATATAAAAGGTGTTACAGATATTGGAGGATTATTTCGTATATCAAAGATATAACCTTTCAAAGTTATGATAACTTGGGCGACCGTTTATAGGAATTATTAACAAAATAAATAGAAGTAAATCTTTCTTTTCTTTGTGATCTCGTTGTCAACTTATATTTGCCAGCACTATTCTGTATAAAACAACGCTATACAATCGATCTCAACATAAAGATAGAGATAATAAAATACACAGCAAAGTTTTAATTATTAGAAATCTTATAAAGAAACTTGGGAAAAAATAAAAACTCTATGAGTTACATAATATCACAGTTCTATCACTCTCCACTACATAGTTGGTTTTAATTTTGTTGGTAATCACACGAAATATCGATATTTTCGTCCATTACATCGGAATCCTCATCTAGACCATCAACATCGATGTCTTCGTCATCACTGTCGACAGCGCATGCGTCTTCACTTGAATCGATTGATGTTTGTTTTAACTTTTTGTTCTCGTGCGTTTTCACGTGTTTACTTAAGTGGTCACTGCGCATGAATCTTTTTCCACACTCTGGACAGCCGAACCTTTTTTCTCCTGTATGCGTCCGCAGATGACGCTGTAGTTCATCTGATCGCGTGAAACTTTTGCCACAGAACAACCAATTACACACAAATGGCCTTTCCCCAGAATGCCATCGTAGATGAGCTTTCAGATGCGAGGTTTTCCCGTACACTTTTCCACAACCCGGAATGTGACAAATATGCTGTTTCTTTTTAGCGGGATTGTCAGAATTTTTAGAATTTTGACAGTTTGGACATCTACAGCGTCTACATCGTCGAGTTGGAGTAATTGCTGGTTTCATTCCATGCATGACGGAAGCGATGTGGGCATGGTACTGAAGATCGGCCACGCCCCCCGTCTGCTGAGCATATAAAAAGTGGGAGTGAATTTCTGGTTTTATATCAGGCGGAACCGGTGTTGTACCAGTTTGTACACTCCACCAAGGAATATCAGCTTCAGACGCTGGTGCGGGGGATAATTGTTTTGGGGTGTGACACTGTTGTTGTACTAACGTCACAGGAGGTGATATTGGGGCATTGCCCATAGTGGGTGGCAACGACATTGTCGAAGGTGTTGGTACAAACTGTCTTCCGGTTGCCAAAACATTTTGCTGAAGAAGACGCGCTTGATGAAGTTCAAAGTTAAATTGTTCGCACTGTAACTGTTCTTGCTGTCTTGCCTGCATAGCTAGTTCCTGTTGTTGACGCATGTGCTGTAGTGGATGAAGAGGCGTACGTAATGATGAAGACATAATTTCCTGAATGTGTACTTCCGGTGATGGACGCCATGTTGGATGCGGTAGACTGGGAGTTGGTCGATGGACTTCCGGTGCACAAAGTCTTAGAAAATTACCAGGAGTTACATCCGGGACATTTCTCATCGATATCTTCATGTTCATTGCCGTCATCGTCGTGTGCTGTAACGATAAATATTTTTTTAAATATAAATACTAGTCCCTTGAAATAATCAAAGTTGTATGTATATAAACACTTTCTTATTGTCAAACTGATAGCAAACAAGGCAATCTTTAAGCCCGAGCTAAGGTACACATCTACATGGTCTTATTGCAGAAAACGAACTACGCCGACTATCTATGAAATATCACCTCCTTTTTCTTTCTTTTTTTTCGTCAAATTTCGGAATATATAAACTGGTGTACGCCTATAAAGACAGAAAACTTGAAATATTTAAGATATTCAAATACTAAAATTTAAAAGATATTTAAATGGATACAAAACATAAATAAAAGTGTAATTGAAAATCTACATCGACACTTAATTTCCTGGATACATGTAGCCAATTAATTTTCTTAAACTGATTTGAACAGTTCGTGGACAGGATCAAAAGTACCCTAGAAATCATTAATTCTATTCTGTACTATGATATAGTGTATCCTACATTAATATATCTTATATATAGCTCCAGGTTCTACCAGTATGTTGTCACTACCGACACTGTAGTGCTTTAAACATTAATGGAAAAAACATAGTATTTATTCATTGGCTTTATGTGTCCAGTTCAGCTGCGGACATCCCCCTTCCCCACCCCTCCAATCATGTGTCCAATTTAAGGGCGGACAGTCCTGTGTACAATCCTTTGAACTGAAAGATCTCTTTTTTCACGATACTTTGAATTGAATTGTATATTTTTTCATTTGTTTTGTCTCTTGTAAATTTCTCAAGATATTTGGGTTTTATCGATTCTTTTTCTACCTTGCAGAATAACGAAACTTGAACTCGTCAAATATTAACAATCTGTATAGCAGTGATTTTGAATGTGACTAACTTTCGTCTGTTGAAACATGATTCGTCACGTGAAAAGTTAGGAAGGGACAATTCCGCGCTCGCTATTCCGGCTATACTGCCTTGTTTACCTATAATGGTTCAGTTGGTGTGGATATATACTCCAGCATGTAATCTATTGTTAAAAGATTTTAAATTTACTTCTCGTTGTGTTAAATTCTGTGTATTGACAGGGTACGATGTATTTCATGTATTATTGAATCATTGCTACATGCATATTTGAATAATTGAGTAGAGAACAACATTACCACACACGTTTTTGAGTCGTCTGTTAGAAAATTGTCAATTTATTTTGGGACGAGTCGTCTATTAGAAAATTGTCAATTTATTTTGGGACGAGTCGTCTGTTAGAAAATTGTCAATTTATTTTGGGACGAGTCGTCTATTAGAAAATTGTCAATTTATTTTGGGACGAGTCGTCTGTTAGAAAATTGTCAATTTATTTTGGGACGAGTCGTCTATTAGAAAATTGTCAATTTATTTTGGGACGACTCGTCTGTTAGAAAATTGTTAGAAAATTGTCAATCTATTTTGGGACGAGTCGACTGTTAGAAAGTTGTCAATCTATTTTGGGACGAAGGGAGAGTATAAGTATTGTGTATCTGTTAGTATTAACGACTTATGGATCGAGACATTATAAGAACTCTCCTGTGGCTTAAGGAGGAAACTACGTCTGTGTTATATCCCTTTAACTCCTAAGTAGGTACTTCAGAGCTTGTTACAGTTATTGCCGGTCAATTTCCTACTTTTCCGTAAATAGTTCTAACTGTTCGTCATTATTAAGATATATTTATTACATCAAAGTAAGCAGGGGGGACCTTTACAGTTTAAAATCTTGATTCCCCAAAGGCAGGGGGGGGGCCTTTACAGTTTATCTTGATTCCCCAAAGGCAGGGGGGCCTTTACAGTTTATCTTGATTCCCCAGAGACAGGGGGGCCTTTACAGTTTATCTTGATTCCCCAGAGGCAGGGGGGACCTTTACAGTTTATCTTGATTGCCCAGAGGCATGGGGGACCTTTACAGTTTATCTTGATTCCCCAGAGGCAGGGGGGCTTTTACAGTTTATCTTGATTCCCCAGAGGCAGGGGGACCTTTACAGTTTATCTTGATTGCCCAGAGGCATGGGGGACCTTTACAGTTTATCTTGATTCCCCAGAGGCAGGGGGGCCTTTACAGTTTATCTTGATTCCCCAGAGGCAGGGGGGACCTTTACAGTTTATCTTGATTGCTCAGAGACAGGAGGGGGGACCTTTACAGTTTATCTTGATTCCCCAGAGGCAGGGGGGCCTTTACAGTTTATCTTGATTCCCCAGAGGCAGGGGGGCCTTTACAGTTTATCTTGATTCCCCAGAGACAGGAGGGGGGACCTTTACAGTTTATCTTGATTCCCCAGAGGCAGGGGGGACCTTTACAGTTTATCTTGATTCCCCAGAGGCAGGGGGGCCTTTACAGTTTATCTTGATTCCCCAGAGGCAGGGGGGACCTTTACAGTTTATATTGATTCCCCAGAGGCAGGGGGGACCTTTACAGTTTATCTTGATTCCCCAGAGGCAGGGGGGCCTTTACAGTTTATCTTGATTCCCCAGGGGCAGGGGGGACCTTTACAGTTTATCTTGATTCCCCAGAAGCAGGGGGGGACCTTTACAGTTTATCTTGATTCCCCACAGGCAGGGGGGATCTTTAGAGTTTATATTGATTCCCCAGATGCAGGGGGGCCATTAGAGTTTATATTGATTCCCCAGAGGCAGGGGGGACCTTTACAGCTTATATTGATTCCCCAGAGGCAGGGGGGCCTTTACAGTTTATCTTGATTCCCCAGAGGCATGGGGGACCTTTACAGTTTATCTTGATTCCCCAGAGGCAGGGGGCATTACAGTTTATCTTGATTCCTCAGAGGCAGGGGGGCCTTTACAGTTTATCTTGATTCCCCAGAGACAGAGGGGGGACCTTTACAGTTTATCTTGATTCCCCAGAGGCAGGGGGGGGCCTTTACAGTTTATCTTGATTCCCCAGAGACAGAGGGGGGACCTTTACAGTTTATCTTGATTCCCCAGAGATAGAGGGGACCTTTACAGTTTATGTTGATTCCCCAGAGGCAGGGGGGACCTTTACAGTTTATCTTGATTGCCCAGAGGCAGGGGGGCCTTTACAGTTTATCTTGATTGCCCAGAGGCAGGGGGGACCTTTACAGTTTATCTTGATTGCCCAGAGGCAGGGGGGACCTTTACAGTTTATCTTGATTGCCCAGAGGCAGGGGGGCCTTTACAGTTTATCTTGATTCCCCAGAGACAGGAGGGCCTTTACAGTTTATCTTGATTCCCCAGAGACAGAGGGGGGACCTTTACAGTTTATCTTGATTCCCCAGAGACAGAGGGGGGACCTTTACAGTTTATCTTGATTGCCCAGAGGCAGGGGGGCCTTTACAGTTTATCTTGATTCCCCAGAGGCATGGGGGACCTTTACAGTTTATCTTGATTCCCCAGATGCAGGGGAAACATTGTATTTAACATTAAGTGATGAAAATTGATTCCCATGTACGTCATATTAGAGTAAAATTCACATCATGCGTAATCTGTGTTACATGTTTTCAACGTGTATTTTTTATATTGATTCAAACATATTTATTGTCAAGCGTAGAGCAAGGGATTAGGTTTGTATTCAATTCACTTTCCTTTATGATCAGTATCGAAATTAAGATGTAGATTTGAAAATTGTATGCTAATATCCCTTGTACGATCTACATCAAAAATTGTTTCTGTCAACTTAAACTCTTGATAATCAATACTGCATGTGATTAATCTACATAAAACAAAATTATATGTAAATGTACAACATGACGCAGAAATAACCAAAATCCTATTTTATCACATGATAATAATAATGTCAATTATACAACTTCCCTGTGATAATAACATATATATAAATATATCTCGCGATCCTACACTTTCTTACACATCCCATGAACCGGTTATACAAATTAGTTATAAAAACATGGATATTAACTGAGAAACAATTAAACGGAGCTGTGATTTATTGAAGGTTCCTATTGCTTCCATTGTGACGTCATAACTTCAATTTGTCATATGCTATTATGACATCATCAAGGACAGAGATATAGAGGAAGAATATCGCCTATCTAACTTTTGAATCAGTCTAATTAAATGCTGTTTTCGAATATATATGCAAGTTACATGATAAACAGAATCTTGCATTCGTTTCCTTTTCATGTTAGATTAAAACAAAAAACAAACAAAAAAACGAAAACCAAAAACCCCTTTCCCCCATGAATTTTATATAAATGGAAACTCGGGTAAGATTTTTTTTATTTTGTTATTTTGTATTGTATTTGATATTTTGTTTACAAATTTTTTATCTTGGTTTCTAAAAAACCAAAAACAAAAAAATCTTTACAAGTAAACTGCTGAAATTTTGAATCTTTTTTAAATTGATCAACAATCTTTAAATTAAGCTTCTTATCAATTTCGGAAGAAAAAATATTTCTTGGATATTCTTATAATTTTGCCGGTATCATTATTATCAGATAATCTTTTTTTAACAAATCAAATGATTTCATTTCCAGATCACCGTAGTCCGAAAGAAACTTCACAGAATACACGGTGTCTAATTTCAACATCCAATGATTTATTAATGTCAAGACTATAACAGATAATTTATGTAAGACTTACGTCGAAACGAATTATTTGTAAGAGTATGTACTGAAATTTTTACACATCACTAACTCTTTGTAAGGCTTAGAGTTCAGTAATTCACACACAAAATGATAATTTCGTGAGACATAACCCAGTAACGTATATACAAAATAATAATTTGTAATATTTAATTCATTTGTGCATTTAGAAGATAATAATTTAGTAAGACTTTGTTTATCTATACATACAGAAAATGATAATAATTTAGTAAGACTTTGTTTATCTATACATACAGAAAATGATAATAATTTAGTAAGACTTTGTTTATCTATACATACAGAAAATGATAATGATTTAGTAAGACTTTGTTTATCTATACATACAGAAAATTATAATGATTTAGTAAGACTTTGTTTATCTATACATACAGAAAATGATAATAATTTAGTAAGACTTTGTTTATCTATACATACAGAAAATGATAATGATTTAGGAA